CGATGATACATATCAAACTATTAATAATAAAATTTATAAAAATGATCATAATATGCACATGAAAAATACCTTTCTTTTAGGATTTGATCTATCAATTAATAGAAAATCAATCAATTCATCATTATTTGATGCTAACTGTATCCAATGAGACAATTTACCTGTGATAGTTTAATAATTTTTCACAAAAAATTAAAAATACATCTTAGAATAATTTGTCGTACAATTAATTTTTACTACCTCTTCCAGCTCCAAATTCAATAAATAAACTATCACTGGATAGCAATCCTAATGAATCCAAATGACCAATTATCGATGACTATAAATTATAATACATGTAAATGTGCATATTATCAATAATAACAATATGTACTTGTTGTAATAAATGTTTGAGTGCAGTTGGCCCATTACTGTCACTGCTAATTTCATCATCCAATACTTTATGAGTCTTTATATCCTCTGATATTGGTACCTCTAATTCTAATTGCAATAATAATAAAAATCAATCATTATTGATTTCATTGTACTTACTCTTTATGGCTTTGTCAATGCGTCCCATTAGCTCCATCATTGTACCTTCACTAAAATCAGAAATATTACACTAAAATAAGAATAATAATAATGACGATCATAATTAATAATTAACTCACAGTTTCTTCCTTTAGTGGTACATAATTGGGTATACCAGTATTAATATTAGCTACATAACAATCCTAACAAAAATAATTAATTAAAAAATAAGCTTATTAATTACGTAACAAAATAGCAATAGCATTTAAAATTATTTAAAAGACATAGCAATTAAAGCAGAAGTGGAATATTTTACTGCATTTATTATTCAATTTTAAAAGTTTTACGTGTTTTTAATTTTACAGTTTACATGGAAGCTACTATACATTAATATAACCAATAAAAATTAACTGGAACTTATTTTTACTTCTTTCTTTTATCGTAAAATTAAAGTCGCCTTAAAATATTTTACTTTTAGGGTAACTAATGACATACTGGCACTTCCCTCTTGCTTGCGTTACATTTCTTTAAATGTTTATTAATATCTTTCTCATAGACTGTGCTAAATAATGATAAATAAACAATAATAACTGAAGTAGTTATTCTTACTGTGACGAATCCAATGGACACGTAATTCTCTTTCCAACGCTTCCCTAATTACATGTATAAACAATAATTATTGTCGATTCACTATCCCATTTTAAATAAAATGATTTTAGGTTACAAAAAAATCCTATGAAAATTTAACAACTATATGGCAAATGCAAAGCACTATATTTATGGCTAATAATTGTACTATAATTAAAACACAATTATATGCAACTCATAAAAATGAATGTGTACATCATACCTCTTGTTCTTTATCATTCAGTAAGTGTTCAGGACAGTATATTGATCTTTTAGTTGCTAGCATTCTACAGGAACGACCCTTCCTCTTTACAAAGAAAGCGCATTTACCATCAGAAATCTCGAGAAATCTCTGGTTTAGCCGCCATCTTTAATACGTATAGGTTATACACCGAGGTAGAGGTTTCTATCATAGATACTATATACACACATGGATATGAAACAGGATGCGCTCGATCCTTGGCGCCGGAAGTGATGCATTGTGACGTTTACACTACACGTGTATAAGCATGGCACAAGCAAAATAGTGAAGAAATCCAGTTGAATTACTTACTAAAGCTCAGGTCTACGACTATATAAGAGTTGCAATCGATATTCTACTTCTAAAAAGTGAAGATCTACTATTACAAGAAAGAATGCACTGTGCTAAGTACTAAAAAAATTATTATTTAAATTATTATCATTATAACTGTTGATGATTATTCTATTCTTCAGTGACCCAATAGATTGATTATTATTATGAGTCCTTCAACAAATTTTAACTATAAAAATAGCAATAAAAACATTGACAACAATTATTATAAGCCGCACTTACTGTATCACCATACAGTACATACTGTAATGTACATCATCTCTATCTTGATAGTTCTCTGTGGTAGCATAAATATAAAGCTTTACAATCATGTAACAATGTCTCATCAATGCCACTGAAATCCTGCTTGTGTTTCTTGGTAAATAACCTATTCTTCCACTACTCAGTTCTCACTAAAAATT